CTGGACCTGGGCCGACACACCTCTTTACCCGGCTGTTCATCTGCATCCTTTGTAACAAACTGGGAGGGGCGACAGGGAGGGCAGGCAGCTGCGTGGCTCCAATGGTCTGGAGGTCACCGCACAGCCTCCACGCGGCAACCTCAGTGCATGTGCGATGCAGAAAGTCCTGACTCCTCAAGGAGCAACGAGCACAGCTCATATGCTGCACTGTAGAAAAACATGACCGCCCTCTCCCAACAAAACCAGGTTTTACAGAATATATTTTTAGTATTTCCCCGTCAGTGATGGGCAGGAACTAAAAGAATTACCTCAAACTCAGTAACGTCAAACCTAACTATCCCCCTCCCCACTTAAGCCTCTCCCTCCTCCTGAATACCCTCCATTATTGCACTGCACCACTCAGCTACCCAAGCCAGTAACCCTGGAGGTACCACCTTTGTTCCTTCCTCTGTCCATCTGCTCAGTAGGTCCTGTCGACTTTACCGTCAAACGACCTTCAGTTACTTCAGTTAATCTCTCTGTTACGGGCTAATTGTGTTCCCCTCCTAAAAATTCCTATGCTGAAGTCTTAACCCATAGCACTTTAGAATGTATGCTTCAGAATGTAATTTGAAGACAGGTTCTTTTTCATTTTTTAGAGAGCGAGCAAGCAAGTGTAAGCGGGGGAGAGGCAGAGGGGGGAGAGAGAGAATCCTAAGCAGACTCTACGCTGTCAGTGCCAGAGCCTGATGGAGGGCTCAATCCCATGACCCCGGGAACCATGACCTGAGCCAAAATCGAGAGTTGTACGCTCAACCGACTGAGCCACCCAGGCACCCCTGGGGACAGGTTCTTTAAAGAAGTAATCAAGTTAACGTGAGATCATTAGGGTGGGTCCTATCCAATATGACTGGTGTCCTTAAAAAAAGAGGAAAGTGGAAGACAGACATATACAGACAGAAGACAACGTGAAGATACAGGGAAAAGACAGCCAACCGCAAGCCCAGGAGAGGGGCTAGAACACATCCTTCCTTCACAGCCCTCAGAAGGAGCCATCCCTGCTGACGCCTTAATCTCAAGGTTAAGAACCGTAAGAACTCTAACAAAATAAAGTTCTGTTGTTTAACCCGTGATGTGGGTACTTTGTTATGGCAGCCCCGGCAAACTAATAGGCCTTCTCTCTTCCCTCTGCCATTACCTTCCTTCAGGCAGCTGACCTGGTAGCTTCTAACCAATCTCCCTACTCCGTGCTGGGTCCCCAGTGATCCACCTTCCACACTGCTGGCAAATCTGACCCATTGTGCCCTCCTTGACCACATAGCCTTTAGGGGTTCCCACCACCTTCAGGATCAAGCCTAGTCACCACAGCATGACCCTCGAGCCTTTCATGATCTGACCATCTCTCTCCATCCCCACTCCTACTCACGGCTGGTCTCTTGCTGTACCAATTCATGAACAAGTTCATAACATGTGGGCGGGGAAAAATCATAGCAGCTATATTAATAGCCCCAAACTAGAAACAGCTGAATGTAATTAACTGGTGAATATGTTAAAAAAAAAAAGTTGTGGTATAATCAGTAATAAAAATTAGCAATAAAAAAGGAACAATTCCTGGGGCGCCTGGGTGGCTCAGTCGTTTGGGCATCGGACTTTGGCTCAGGTCATGATCTCGAGGTTCATGAGTTCAATCCCCACATCGGCTCTGTGCTGGTGGCTCAGAGTCTAGACCCTGCGTCAGATTCTGTGTCTCCCTCTCTCTCTGCTCCTCCCCTACTCACGCTCTGTCTCTCTCTCTCTCTCTCTCTCAAAAATAAATAAAAAACATTTTAATAATTTAAAAAAGAAACAATTCCTAATATTCACATAATACAGATTAACTCTCAGATGCTATGCTGAGCAAAAAAAAAAAAAAAAAGTCAAACAGTAAATTCTATAGGACTATGTTTATGTTACTGTCAAAAAGAAGCAAAACTAATCTACAGTGATAGAAACCAGATGAATGGCTGCCTGGGAGTGGGGGCAGAATAAGGGGAATAAAGAAAAATGGGCATAGGGAATTTCCTAGAGAGATGTAAATAATATTTACCTTGACTGCAGTGATGGCTACACGAGAATTTACATTATTCAAAAGTCAATGACCAAATTAAGAAAACAATTCTACTTATAACTGCATCAAAAAGAATAAAATACCTAGGAATAAATTTAACCAAGAAGGTGAAAGCTTTGCACATTGAAAGCTCTAACACACTGATGAAACAAACTGAAGAAGACAGAAATAAATGGCAAGACTTTCCATGCTCATGGATGGGAAAAAATAATACCTTTAAAATGTTTACCCTACCCAAAGCAATCTATAGATTCAATGCAATCCCTATTCATAATTCCAGTGGCATTTTCCACAGAAATAGAATAAACAATCCTAAAACTTACTATATGAACCACATAACACCCCAAATAGCCAAAGCAATCTTAAAAAGGAACAAAAAGCTGGAAGCATCACACTTCCTGATTTTAAACATTACAGGGATGCCTGCGTGGCTCAGTTGGTTAAGCGTCCAACTTCGGCTCAGGTCATGATCTCGCAGTTCACGAGTTTGAGCTCCACATCGGGCTCTGTGGTGACAGTTCAGAGCCTGGAGCATGGTTTGGATTCTGTGTCTCCCTCTCTCTCTGCTCCTCCCCTGCTCATGCTCTGTCTGTCTCTGTCTCTCTCTCTCAAAAATAAATAAATTAAAAAAAAAAAAATAAAACTACATTACAAAACTACAGTAATTAAAATAGTATGGTATTGGCATAAAAACAGACACAGAGATGAGTAAGACAGAACAGAGAGGTCAGAAATAAAAAGCCATGCATAAATGGTCAACTAATTTATGACAAAGGGGCCAAGAATTCTCACTGGGGAAAGGACAGTCTTCAATAAATGCTGTTGAGAAAACTGGACCACTGTCTTTACACTACACACAAATATCAACAAAAAAAAGATGGACCAAACTTGAACATAAGACTTGAAACCATAAACTACTAGAAGAAAACATAGGTGGTAAGCTCCTTGATGCTGGTCTTGAGTTTTGGATTTGATGCCAAAAGCAAAGGTAACAAAAGCAACAATAAACAAGTGGACTACATCAAGCTTCTGCACGGTGAAGGAAACCATCAACAAAATGAAAACTACCAAGTGGGAGAAAATATCTGCAAATCCTGTATCTAATAAGCAGTTATCCAAAGTACACAAACAATTCACAGAACTCAATATCGAAAAAATAATCTGATTAAAAAATGAGCAGAGGAACTAAACAGACATTTTTCCAAAGAAGACATACAGGTGGCCAACAGGTATATGAAAAAATGCTCCACATCACTAACCAGCAGGGAGATAGAAATCAAACGCACAATGAGGTATCACTCTTGTCAGAACGGCAATCATCCAAAAGATAAGAGATAACAAGTGCTGGTGAGGATGTGGAGAAAAGGGAACCCTCGTGCGCTATGGGTGGGAATGGAAACCGATATAGCCATTATAGAAAACAGTTATGGGGGCGCCTGGGTGGTTCAGTCGGTTAAGCGTCCGACTTCAGCTCAGGTCACGATCTCGCAGTCTGTGAGTTCGAGCCCCGCGTCAGGCTCTGGGCTGATGGCTCAGAGCCTGGAGCCTGCTTCCGATTCTGTGTCTCCCTCTCTCTCTGCCCCTCCCCTGTTCATGCTCTGTCTCT